TCCCCAACTAGCTCACACAGGCTTTTTTTTGGATGTTTCTCTTCAGTCTGAGAGCTCAAAGGCACAAACCAGTTTGGAGTCAACTGCTGTCAATTTTCTACTGTTCTCTTATTTTCTTACAATTTTTTGTCTTCTCTGTCCTATCACAGTGAAAGTGTAAAGTCACACGAACTTAAAAGGTTTTCTTTTTTCTTTAAAGATGTATGTATGTATGTATGTATGTACACAGTACAGGCCAGAAAAGGGCACCATATCTCATTACAATGGTTGTGAGCCACCATGTGGTTGCTGGGAATTGAACTCAGGACCTTTGGAAGAGCAGGCTTTGAACCACTGAGCCATCTCTCCAGCTCCCCCTTTTTAAACCAAGCATAATAGAGCACACCTTTAATCCTAGAACCTGGTAGGCGGAGAGAGTGGGTGGATTTAAAGACAACCTGGTTTACTCAGTGAGTTCTAAGACAGCCAGATACCCTGTTGCATCCCCCCTCCCACGCACGCGCGCACAAAGAAAGTTTAAAACATTATGTGTGAATGTGTTGCCTACATATATGTGTGTGTATCATGTATGTGCTTGGTGCTCGCACAGGTCAGAAGAGGGAATGGGGTCCCCCGGAACTGGAGTTACAGATGGTTGTGAGCCACCATGTGGGTGCTGGGTACTGAGCCCAAGTCCTCTGCAGGAGCAGCAAGTGCTCTTCACCCCCAAGTCGTCTCTATAGGCTGCACTTAAACCTCTTGTATAATCTGTAAATCAACCATCATCTAAAATAAACCCAGAAGAAAAGACACTCAATGTATTGTGAGTCTGTGTGACTGTAAGAGTCACAAATGTCAGCACCAACCTTTCTCTTTCAGCTTCTGCATTTCCAGTTCCTACTGCCCTGCCTATCCGGGAGCTGTTTTTGATTTGTAATCTTTTTCTATTGATGGTTACTGTGTTTGAGTGAATGTGAGCATGGGTGTGCTACGCATGCATGTGAAGGTACAAGACTAGCCAGTCTGTGAACTTCTGGGAGATTTTCCTAACTCCTCCCATCTCACCATAAAAGTGCTGGGATTCTAGATGTGCATGCACCATCACATCTGGCTTTTTTGCTTGTTTGTTTGTTTATTGTTTTTGTTTTACAAGACTGGGTTTCTCTGTGAAACAGTTCTGGCTATCCTGGAACTCACTCTATAGACCAGGTTGGCCTTGAACTCACTTAAATCTGTCTGCCTCTGTCTCCTGAGCACTGGGATTAAAGGTGTGTACCACCACTGGCCGGCATCTTTTTTTTTTTTTTAATTTATTTAACTTTATTTTATGTGCTTTGGTGTGAAGGTGTCAGAGCTCCTGAAACTGGAGTTACAGACAGTTGTGAGCTGCCATATGGGTGCTGGTAACAACTCAGGTCCTCTGGAAGAACAGCTAGTGCTATAAACCGCTGGGCCATCTCTCCAGGCCCCACATCTGGCTTTCTAACATGGATTCTAGGATCAAAGTTGTCAGGCCTACGTGGCAATCGTTTTTATCCACTGAACTATACTGAGAGCCCCTGACCCGAGCCACTTAAAAGACAATTCTAACTCTATACTACTTTCTATCAACACTTCCTGTTCCAAATAATCTGAAAATTCAAAGGCCCTAAGAAAACCATAATTAAATATTTGACCATGTGGTTTGTTTTTCTTTAAAAGAAAAATTATGGTTTTACATGTGATTTAAGTGAAGGCAATGTTTTGTTTTTTCAGATAAGAAAAGCTAGCAATTAAAACCACAGTAAATGAAACTTCCTGGCAAGGTTATGGCTGGCACAATATTAGGACTGTTTATTTATACAAAACCAAACTAGTAGATTTAAAAATAACTACATAAAGAATATATAATTTATGTAATCTGGCCAATTTATCATTTAGATTCTGTTTCAATGGACTTAGTTTATTTGCAACACAACATAATTAGGCAATGAGTGGCCACTGTCAGACCAAGGAAAATGACCTTTACAGAGTCCCTAAAGCAGTGGTTCTATACCTGTCGGTCGCAACCCCAGGAGGTGTCAAATTTCCCTTTCACAGGGGTTGCCTAAGACCATTGGAAAACACAGATAACTACAATACAATTCATAACAGCAGCAAATTTATAGTTATGAAGTAACAATGAAAATAATTCTATGGTTGGGGTCACCACACGAGGAGCTGACTGTATTAAAGAGCTGCAGCATAGGAAGGCTGGGAGCCACTGGACTAAGGTCACGTAAACACAAGACTTCAGATCTCCCTTCTCACTGCTTCAACAGTCAAGTTGGTCTGGGGGAAAATACACTTGCATAAAGCAACTAGAAACAGCATTCTGGTCATCTCTCTGAAACAATTATTCTGGTTATCAGGAATTTAGGGAAACAGAATAAAACTTTTTTGTGATGCATACTATTTTAACAATGGCATGACTACTTTTGTTATTAATCTGTTGGGCTAACCATAATCAGACCTAGAACAGAGAATTTACATACACTCTCTTTTTTCGTTTTTGTTTTCCTTCCGAGACAGGTTTTTCTGTAGTTTTGGAGCCTGTCCTAGAGCTCACTCTGTAGACCAGGCTGGCCTTGAATTCAGAGATCAGCCTGTCTCTGCCTCTGGAGTGAGGGGATTAAAGGCGTGTACCACCACCTCCCAGCAAGAATCTCTTATAATGGGGGCCGGAGAATGGCTCAGAGGTTAAGACCTCTTCCAAAGGTCCTGAGTTCAATTCCCAGCAACCACATGATGGCTCACAACCATCTGTAATGGGGTCTGGTGCCCTCTTCTGGCCTGCAGGCATACACACAGACAGAATATTGTATACATAATAAATAAATAAATAAATAAGTATTTTTTTAAAAAAGAATCTCTTATAATGAAATTTAAGGCAAATCAATTTCCTTGTAACTAGACACTCATTTTACACTTTGACAATATTACTGGCTACAACCCATCTAAAATTCAAAAAACCTACAAACAGTATGGATAAATAAAATCCAGTAATTCAAATAATCTTGTAAAGCCAAAAGAAAATGAAGAAATCCAAATGACAAAATCTTTTTCATTATATTGATAAGCATTTAATAAAAAACTAATTAGTGAAACATTAATGCTAAAGTATCAACAAAAATAACAGATCTCTTAAGGAATATACATCCACCAATGTCACAAACTTAGCCTGTTTCTTTTAGAGTAACATAATTTTACTTCTAATCTACAAAACACCTATTATTTACCATACATGTCATTTTAAAACTTATAAAAACCTCAATGGGACTTTAATGAAAGAAGCCAATTTGAAAGGTAACCTATTATTTGGCACAACATTCTTTAAAAGGAGAAACTAGCCAGACAGTGGTGGTGCACACCTTTATCTCCTGTTGTGGGAGACAGAGGCAGTTAGATCTGTGAGTTTGGTCCAGTCTGGTCTACAGAGCGAGTTCCAAGACGGCCAGGGCTACACAGAGAAACCCTGTCTTGAAATAAACAAACAAAAAATTATAGAAACAGTAAAACTAGAAAGTTACTTGAGCTGGAAGGAGCAGAGGACTTTAGGACATCGACCTGTTCCATCTATTCTACATGATGCTGCTAGAGCAGCTGGAAGGAGCAGAGGACTTTAGGACATCGACCTGTTCCATCTATTCTACACGATGCTGCAAGAGCAGATGTGCTCATCCCAAACCAGGTCCTGTCCCAGCAACAAACTCTGTCCACCCAGTGCTCTGCGTGAGAGGTGGAGAATCAGAGTCTGGGGAGGAAACGGAGCGTTTTCTATGCTCACTGCTCAGTGTTGCTGTGAACCTAAACTTGCTCTAAAAAAATGTCATAAACAAACAATACTTGAGGGTGTATAATAACATAAACAGGTAGTCCTAGCACTCAGAAGGTACAGACAGGAGGACCAGGAGTTTAAGACCAGTTTGGGTCACATAGGATCTCAAAACAACAAAATGGAGATAAGTATGGGTGCAGATCCTAGTAGCACTCACAGACGTAATTAAAATAATTTTAAAATAATAAAAAACAGAAACAAAAGTTCAATGGTTATCATTATCACTTCCGAATTACCAAAATCTTAGAAATATTCATTTATATTTTATATTCAAAGTTTGTGATAAAAGTCAAGAAGGCCTACAGATTTAGCCTGGTGGCAGAGGGCTTGCTAGCATGCAAGAGGCTCTGGGTTCTATCCCTACCAGAAAACAAGCAAAACAGAGTCTTAATGTTAACAATGTCAGTTTATGAATTACAGTTAGGCACGACAGGTTATCAAACACGCGAACTATAAGAACTTAGCTGACACTGATTAGTGCTGAAGGACTCACTAGAGGAATCCTAACCCATGTGTATCTACGCCAGGAGCTGCAACTACAAACCATCTCTAGCTGAAGCACGCTTCCTGTAAAGAAGCGTGTAAGGAAGAGGCTAGCCCATCCACCAGACTCAGAGTGAGCACAACCTAAATCTCTAGGATCTGTCTTACCCCAAGAAGTCATGTTGCCAACTCCAGCATCTAGTACAGAAATGCTCTCAAGAACACCAGACTGACAGTCACGAAATCAAGGACTTGTGTAAGCACAGCACCTCAGGACCTTACACTGTGCATTTGCCGTCAGTTTTGTTGGCATACAAACTAGACTGTTATTATACATAAATAATACATAATTTTCTTAAACTGTGCACATTTGATAAGCGTTCACACAAGAAAAGCTACAGGAAAGGACTTTTCTCATTTTTCTGGTATCTTCAACATTTAATCAATGTTTCTAGAAAAAAAAAGCAATAGTCTAATTTTCTATAACTTCAGACACAACCTTAACCTCAAATTACCAAACTTCAAAATCAGTTTTAGACTTTAAAAAGGTTTCACTAAATGTCAATTATTATTAAAAATATTTAGCAAACTAAGTGCATACATTCAGAAATGAAAAAATGAAATAGATCAATAGGCACCACTCAAGACAACATTGTAAACTGTGATTAAAGCAAAGCCTTACTTGTCTGGGTTTTTCACTCTGAATGTTGCATTAAGCGCTTTTAACCTGGAGTCTGCCTGGAAAAAATAATTTGTTGACTTAATACAATTACATTTCAGGGTATAAATTCAAACAGCTTTACTTTCCCTTCAGAATTAAAGTGTTCAAACATGTGGATTTTTTTAATCATTTGTTATAAGCATATTAAACATATTGAAAAAGAATAGCTTCTTTTGAGAATAGCACACAGCATGTTATAAATCAGAATGAGTATGCGGCCTTCAGTGATTCCAAGCTATCAACCACAACACCAATGCACCAGTAATGACAACAGCTCTGCATTATCTCCAAGCCAAGAAAAGTGGTGACCTGCCTAGGCAGGCTGTGAACCTGCTGCTTTATGGAGATCCTGTGTGTTCTGAGCATACTTCTCAGGTGGAATCCAAACCACATGGGCCTTCACTTTTCTTGTTATCATAATGTCTCAGAAAAAGAAAAAAAATGAAAACTGCTACATTAAATTAATGCTATGCTAAATAAAGCAAGCTAGATGGCATCACATTACTGAAGACATCCCTTTTTTGGTTTTTGAGATGGGTCTCATGTAGTCCAGGCTGGCCCTAAACTCCTCACCCTGTTGTTCTAGCTCCCTAGCATAGGGTTTCAGGTGTGAGACAGTGTGGTGCCCGGCTTACAAAGCACATCTTCTTAACTTCACTTATTTCTAGGTAATTGTTCTCTAAGAAGAGACAGAGAGGTAAATACAAATAGGAACTTCATTGCATGAGAATCCTAATTTTTTACGTAAACAGAAATGAAAAAGAGAACTGTGTCAAGCATGATGGTACGTGCCTTTAGTCCAGCACTTGGAAAGTAGAGGCAGTTCAACCTCTGTGAATGCTAACCCAACCTGGTCTATAGTGAGTTCCAAGACAGCTAGTGAGGATTATGTAGAGAGATCTTGTCTCAAAAATAAAACAAAAAGATGGTGATATGCACCAATAATCACAGCACTTGGGAGGCAGAGGTAAGCGGATCACTGGGGCCAGCCTGGTCTACAAAGTTCAAGGTTAGGCAGAACTCTGTAGCTTGTCTCCAAGAACAAAAAACAAAAACATCCACAAAACCAAACCCAAACAAACAAACAAAAAACCCAAACCAGGGTGCTAAAGGGATAGCTTAGCAGTTAAGAACGCTCGCTGTTCTGGCAAAGAGCCTGGCTTCACAGTTCCCAGCACCCCATGGCAGCTCAAAACTGCCTGCAACTCCAATTTCAGAGGATCCCATGCCCTCTTCTAGTCACCATGGGCCCTAGGCATGCATGTGGTACACATACATACAAAATACAAATGTAAATCTTAAAAAAAATACATCTTTAAAAAAAACCAAATGTAGTTTGGCTTTTTAAAAATATCTCTATCCTCATGAAGACTTTATATTATTCCAATTTCCAACCCATAATTACAAATACTTTCAATTAACACAACAAAGTAAACCAAAACCAGCAGGATATCTGAGTTACTCCACTAAGAAAATAGGAACAAATAACAAATGAGCTCTTTCATATACTCAGCGCCCACAACTCCAGAGTAAGGGATCTGCACAGTTGGCCAATAAACACCAAAAAAGCTTAAAGATTTATTCCTTTTATTTTATGTGTATGAGTGTTTTGCCTGTGGGTATATATGTGTACTACATACATACCTGGTGCCCAGAAGCCAAAAGACTGGTACTGGAGTTACATATAGCTACATGGTAGCCACCATGTAGGAGCTGGGAAAAGAACCCAGGTCCTCTGCAAAATTAGCAAGTGCTCTTAATTGCTACGCCATCTCTTGAACCTCTCAAATCTCACTTTAAAATAAATAAATACATTTATTTCTTTATTCATGGGGGGGGTTGCCTACATGTATGTCTGGCAAGTCTGTTCACCATATACATGCTTGGGGCCTGTGGAAGCCAGAAGGCAGGAATGGATCTCCTGGAACTGGGTAAAGATGGCTGTTAGCTACCACTTGGGTACTGAAGGCGAACAGCCAGTGCTCTTAACCACTGAGACATCTCTCCAGTCCTCTCAAATCTCACTTTTGTTTGTTTGGTTTTTTAAGACAGGGTTTCTCTGTGTAATCCTGGCTGTACTGAAACTAGTTCTGTAGACCAGGCTGGCCTCGAACTTACAGAGATCCACCTGCCTCTGCTTCTTGAGTATTGGGATTAAAGGGATGTACCACTATGCCCAGCTTCAAATCTCTCTCTTCCTTTCCCCCCGTTTGGTTTTTGGAAACAGAGCCTGTCCTGGAACTAGCTATTGTAGACCAGGCTGGCCTCAAACTCAGAGATCCGCCTGCCTCTGCCTCCGCCTCCAGAGTGCTGGGATTAAAGGCGTGTGCCACCAATGCCCAGCTCTCTCTCTTCTTTTAAGATCTATTATGTATACAAGGTTCTGTCTACATGTATGCCTGTATGCCATAAGAGGGCACCATCTTATCATAGATGGCTGTGAGCCACCATGTGGGTTCTGAGACTTGAACTCAGGACCTCTAGAAGAGCATCCCCAACCTCTGAGTCACCTCTCAGGCCCCAAATCTTACTTTCTGATCCCACAATGTTTTTCTTTTTTCTTACTTTTAAACCTTTCCTTACCAAACATATCTAGCAGAATAGGTCCATCGCCACTGCTCACTTTAAGATCACACAGAAAGAGGAGATGCTTAAAATGAGACCAAACCAGAGAGTCCTCTGAAGCAACTCTGAAGAGTTTCCTGGCCCACTGCAAAACTGACAGGTTACTTTGCACTCACCCAGAAGCTCTCCACTCAACACCCAAAGATGCACCTTACCTAGTGCTGTTTATAGCACCGTATTTTTCTCCTCTAAAGCAGGATTATCTGAAATCATGCCCTATGTGTTTCTTGACTGTCCATTTTTGTTTTACAAAGCTGCACACTCTGAATGCACACTGACTCTGGAGCAGCACAAAGGCTGCCGGGTCAACACTTTTAGCGTTTTCTCTATTTTCTCCAAAACCTTGCCAAAGAAACTACCCAGCTTGGGTTTCTCTCTCTAACTGTTCTTTGCTGACCTTAGGGTTGGTTCCACTGCAGATCTCCTGTCCTTCAGATCTCGACTTAAAAACCATCTCTTCAAGGGAAACTATATTAGGTCAGTTCGCCCAAAACCATCCTAGTTTGTGCCCCTTGTTCCTGTCTTAGTAACAGTGCCCTCTATACTGCACACCCAGTATACATACTCTATACAACACAAAGAGTCAGTCTGGATAACAAATTCCATTCACACTTTTCTTGAGTAAGGGTCTCCTCATATATACAGCTTGGAGTGGTTTGGAACTCATGATCCCCCTGCCTCAGCCTCAAAATGCTAGGATGAGAACTGTGAGCCGTGAGAGCCGAAGTTCCTGGGGGCTGGAGGATTCTATGTTGAAGATTGTGCAGACTGATGAAAATTTCGTGACTGTGCAGAGCTAGAATGTTACAGGTTGACAGCCAAAGCGACCTTGGACCTTCGGTCCCTTCACTAGCCCTTTATCACTAGCTAGGGTAACTGACCTAACTTCTGACTATTAGGCAGAGCCCTAGGAATAGATTCTTAGCAGACCTCTAGCTTCCACCAACCCAAAGGCTAAGAATGCTATCAAAGAGCATCTGAGTGCCAGGCGATAGTGGCACACGCCTTTAATCCCAGCACTCGGGAGGCAGAGGCAGGCAGATCTCTGTGAGTTCGAGGCCAGTCTGGTCTACAGAGCTAGTTCCAGGACAGGCTCCAAAGCAACAGAGAAACCCTGTCTCAAAAAACTAAAAAGCATCTGAGTGCTACAGCAGTACTCTCCTGGCTTTACTGAAACCTGCCCACCTGCTGTCCCCACCCACGTGTGTTGTAAAGGCAATAATGTATTTTGTTCTGTTCATGGAGTTCATGAACCCTCCACAGCACAACCCATCATTCTAGACAACCCAATTCTGTGTTCCCAGGCCATGCTTGCTTGTGAGCCTTAGAATACTTTCTTGTTATTCCCTCTTGGGAAAGAGCTGTGCTTTGTGTTGCTAGCCACTGCCTGCCTGACTCATCTTAAAGTGACTCCAGAAAACAAGCCCTACTGGTTCATTAACAACAATCATAGTCTACTCCTCGTGCTGCTTTTCACAATTCAAAAACAATTTTTTTTTTTGTTTTTCACTGGGTTTCTGTGTAGCCGTGGCTGTCCTGGAACTCACTTTGTAGACCAAACTGGCCATGAATTCAGAGATCCGTCTGCCTCTGCCTCCTGAGTGTTGGAATTAAGGGAGTGCACCACCTGTGAACCAGCTTCAACGTATTTTCTAGATGACTTATCCCTTCTTAACACATATCCCACTCCTTAAGAACAGGCCAGTCACGGTCTGCACAGCACTTAGAGCAGCAAGTACCTCACATTCTGCAGGTACCCAGACTGTGGAATCAGAGGCTAGCAGAGGGCCACACCTTGTCTCTGGCATTCCTTCTTCCAAGCAAAAAGAAGGGTTCCAGATTCTTCTGAATCAGCCTCTATTCATTAAGACCTGGGCAATACAAAGGTGAGCATTCTCATGATGCAGTTAACTGACTGAAGACCATCTTAGTCTGCACTGAACTACTTTGTGTTCATTACTCTAGGGACAAACCCTGGGCTCTCCTTCCACAGATTCACATACCATGAGTATTTAAATAAATACTCCAAACATGAAGCGGGGCTTGAGAGGGCTGAAAGTATGGCAGCAAACCATGTTACATCCATCTGAACATCGCAGAACCCTGTGTTGCCTAATTGTAGCTTTCAGTGATCAGATGAACTAATTGTTAGATATACAACCTTCATATAAATTAAATGTGACCCTATATGTGTGTGTGTATACACACCTATCGACGTATGTATACGGTGTCATATATTAATACATGTGTGTATACTTGTGCATTGTGAGGCTGTCCAAAAACATCTCATTTTTTTCATGGAAGAAAGACTTGAAAAAGAATTCATAATAAATAAGTTTCTGAAATATCTCCTACTTTCAACATGTGACATTTTGAATTATTAATTTTAGGTATTATATTAAATATAACCTTTCGAATACTTTATAAAAGAAAACCTCAAGCTTTAAACCACAAGGCTATACAAATACAAAACGTTACTTAAATACTTTAAAGCCATCTGCCCAAAAGATTTAAAGGACCCTGTCAACAGCATATTCTAGAATAACAGACAAACTTGAGAGTTATCTCAACACTACCAAACTGGGACAAAACTGAGTATAAGAACAGATAAATAAGTAAAGACTAATGGCCAAATCAGTGACTAAATATCTGCTCATATACAGAAAATTCATGCAAATAACTTGATATTAGTCTTATCTTTCCTCATTCACTTGTAATATATTTTAGAATATTTATCAGAAAATGTAAAATATGAGTCTTTTAAAGTTTCAAATTATTTCAAATCCATCCCTAAACTTACAACTTTCCTCTAAGGACCACCAAGTGCTGAATTAACAATCAAGAAACTGGTATCTGCCGGGCGGTGGTGGTGCACGCCTTTAATCCCAGCACTAGGGAGGCAGAGGCAGGCGGATCTCTGTGAGTTCGAGGCCAGCCTGGTCTACAAGAGCTAGTTCCAGGACAGGAACCAAAAGCTACGGAGAAACCCTGTCTCGAAAAATCAAAAAAAAAAAAAAGAAAGAAAGAAACTGGTATCTGCTAATAAAATACCCAACTAGTTAAGAGTCAGTTCATGACAGAATCAGACACTTGATTATATTTCCTGTTTATTCTGCACTGAATTTCAAATTCCTATATGCCAATGTCTGAAGCTCCAGGATTTTTTTTTTTTTTTGGTTTGGCTGGTTTGTTTTTAAGACACTGAGTTTCAGGTAGCCCAGGCTATCTTCAAACTCACAGAAAGATGAAGATGACCTTCAATTTCTAATCCTCTCCACTTCCCAAGGAATTTCACTATTTACCACTAAGCCTAGTCTGAGATGTTTTTAAATTACTGAACATAGTTTGTTTTTGTCTAGGTGTACTACGTTGAACATAGTTTGTTCTTGTCTAGGTGTACTATGTTACTGAGGTGTTTTTAAATTACTGAACGTAGTTTGTTCTTGTCTAGGTGTACTATGTTGAACTGATTCATCATTTACCACCTTTTTTTAAGAGTGTTTTTCAAGAGAAGGTCTCACTATGTAGCTCTGGGTGTCTTGGAACTCACTATGTAGACCAGGTTGGCCTCGAACTCATAAAGTTCCCACCTGCCTCTATTCCCCATGTTGGTATTAAAGGTATGTGCCAGGTGCCAGTACACCTGGCTATCATTTACTATCTTATATTAAATACTAGGTTCAGCATATTTTATCTGAAATGTTTGGGTCTTTACAATGTAATCTTTGCCAGTTGAGTATCCCTTTACGTAAAATCTGAAATAAAAAATATCTCTAAGTCTAAAACTGAATTATACAATAAAATGTTTTAAATTCTGAAATACTCAGTATTTCATAGTATTTCAAATTTCAGACTTTCAATTTAGGATTATTCAACCTGTATTTTACAAACTTATTCTGTATTTGTCTCCCCTCCTCACACGACTTCCAGCAGACAAACCCTTCTAGTCTGTAATAACCTGTGCTGGCTGTCCCTCAGGAAGATCTGGAGAGCCCCAATCCTTCACCACTGAGCTTCTCAGTCTCCAGGAACTCTCTTTTACAAGCACCAATGCTAATGACTATAAACCTGCATCACTAACAGGGGCCATTTCACCACGACTCCTACCACTTTTCAAATTGGTTACCATGCTTCAGAAGTAAGACAAAGGTCTCATCCTAGGTCTACCAATGTCGTAAAAACCAAGTGTGGGTTTCCCTAAGTGTCTTGTCTCCCAGTAAGCAAATGTGGGAGTCAGAGAACAAGTGAAGTAGCCAAGTAGAATTTAAGGAAATGAAAATGTGGATGTACTCCTATACTGTATGAAAACTCTATACATTGAATTTACATTATTGATTTAAAATAGTTTCTGGGAGGATTCAGAAACTTCCCACTATAGCCCAACCAACACTAAAATTACACAAATCAAAAGTGAACTGAGGTGTTTTCTTGGAAATCCTTCCAACGATGTTAGACGCAAAGCTGACCCCCACCATTAGCTCAGCAAACAGAGCCACATCTCCATTAAGAGCACACTACCATGCTGGGAACTATGGGGGATGTGGAGCACATATTCACATAAATACCCTTACCTTCAGCTGAAATCCAGTCTCATTCACAGTCTCCTTCCAGTTGCCTTCCTAAAAGTCAAAGTCATTTTCAGAGATCATTACTGCAAAGCCTAACAACCAACACATAATGTTCCTCATGAAATAAACTGAGTATCTACCATTCTGTTCTTAATTCAAGTTATACGAGAGACCATTTTCTTTACTTCAAAACTACAAATTCAATGCAAATTCCAAAAGTGTGAAAAACATCCAAGATTTTAGACATCTGGCCTCCTAACACTGAAGATTTTTAAGTTTTCATTTAGGTAATTCTAAAAGACATAAAGTTTTAGTATCTTTTTTTTTTAAGATTTATTTATTTCTTATGTATACAACATTCTGCCTTCATGTATGCCCGCACACCAGAAGAGGGTGCCAGATCTCATTACAGATGGTTGTGAGCCACCATGTGGTTGCTGGGAATTAAACTCAGAACCTCTGGAAGAGCAGCCAGTGCTCTTAACCACTGAGCCATCTCTCCAGCCCAGTTTTAGTATCTTTTAAGTGTAAAAATCTTAGCTGTGATGGGGCTGGAGAGATGGCTCATTGGTGAAGAACAGTTACTGATCTTCAAGAAGACCCAGGTTTTCCCCCCAGTCCCCACTCTGTGGCTCATAACTAAATGTAACTTCAGTTCCTGGGATTCAACCCTGCTTCTTACCTCCATGGACTCTTGCACCCATGATGTACATATACATACAATCAGAGACATACATACACACACACATACACACACACACACGCACACACACACACACACACACACACATAAAAAAATTTAAATAACTAATATTTTTAAAAGCTTAGCTATTGGGGTAATGAGATGGCTCAATATTTAGGTAAAGCATTTGCCATGTAAGCCTGGCAACTAAGACCAATTCCCAGAGTTACTCGAACGGTGGAAGGAGGGACTGACTCCACAAAGCTGTCCTCTGATCTCCACATGTGCCATGGCAGGTGTACCCCTCCCCCATGTCACACTCCAGAGAACACAAATAATTAAAAAAAACTCAGCTAATGACAGAATCTAATAGCCCAAAATTCAAACTAACCAATAAACTGCCTACCAAAAGCTAACTCAAGAGTCTCAAGAATCAGCATTTTCTAGTTTTTTTAAAAGTCTAACTCAAATATTTTTTGTAAAGACTAATTAAAAGAATACCTGTGTTAAAAACAAATAGAAGATTTTGTCTCTACAAAGGACAGGATGTGAAGCAACCCTCAAGAGAAAGTTTTCTAAGCCTATCCGTCGTCTCTCCACAAAGTCTGGATCCATGTTGTCAGCAGAGAGTTTGTGCCACACGAACTCTGCCTGGGGAAACAAGGCAACCATTAGGAACAGGCTCAACCACAGGTAAGTACAGCTCTTACTCTCGGTCTTAGCTAGGATTATACTGCATTGACAAAACGCCATGACTAAGCAAGGTGTGAGAGAAGTTTATCTGGCTTACACTTCCATATCATTGTTCATCATCAAAGCAAGTCAGAACAGGATCCTGGAGGCAGGAGCTGATACAGAGGTTATGGAGGGGTGCTGCTCACTGGCTTGCTCCTCATGGCTTGCTGCTCAGCCTGCCTTCATACAGAACCCAGGACCACCAGCCCAGGGTAGCACCACTCACAATGGGTTGGGCCTCCCATCTCAATCCCACATCAATGACTAGTTACAAAAATGTCCCACAGGCTCATGTGCTTACAGCTCAATCTTCTAGAAGCTTTTTCTCAACTGAGACTTCCTCCTCTCAAATGACTCTGGCTTGACATAGCTGACATCAAACCATACAGCATACACCTAGAAATTTCTCTTTACAACAGAAGGAGACCATTAAAGAAAACCACAATGCAGAGAACAAGTGATCCTGTGGTGCCCAGCCAACTGATGCATCTACGACATAGCTCCCGCACCCAAAGCTCAGGGGACATCTGGGAGAGGGAGCAGAAAGACTGTGAGAGCTAGAGGAACAGGAAGTCTACTGTGAGATTATGTCTCCTGGGAATGACAGAAAAGCTATACCTATGAACATGTCTGCCTAAACAAGACTTGCACAAGGATAATACTAACATATATGCTAGCATGGAAGGGGGCATCTTATGGGGCCTCAACCCTAGACAAAGAACTCTAGGCAATTAGTGAATGCTAAAAGTAGAAGAAATAGCCCCTTTTGTGGAAGGTTGACTAGACGGTCAACCCCGAAATCATAAACACACAAGTAACATTATACAGACTGAGCAAGTTCCAAGACAGGGCTACACAGAGAAACACTATCTTGAAAAGCAGAAACAAAAAAGAAAGAAAACAAATAAATGAATGGGGTCAATTCCAGGCACTTCTCAACTCCCACGGCTCTGTCTTACCCGCTTTTCAGGAAGAGGTGGCACAACAATATGCGGGTAGTACACTAGAAGGTAGTTTCTCAATAGCTCAAACTCGCTGTACCGCCTCCACAGTGAGTCTGTGAGGACGCTCTGACCGTCAGCATGTCCAACTGACCTGAAAAGGAATCAAAGGCATCTATTACTCCAAAACTGAACACATGATGCCAACTCCTTCAAAACCTTACAATCCCAGGAAACAGACTTCCTGTGCCCATTTTACAGATGAGGATGCAGCTGTGCTCTGCCTACAAATGCACACTCTGTGTGTTGTGCGCTCAGATTCAAAGCTCTCACCCGAGTGCTTTCCTTCTGTTATGGAAAACCCATCTGAACTCATGAGAAATAGCTATATGGGAACATTCTAAAAGCTGCAGTGTACAATTGGTTTTACAATATTTGTTACAAAAAGGCACTTGTAACTTTACTACTGCCACAATGAGGGGACAACTTCATGACAAAGACCCAGATACCACAAAGTCTGGGTTCAGTGTATGAGTCAATCCAACAGACCTGAATACCAGGAGACCCACAAGAACAAAGTTAGCTCTGGAAGGGCAAGGAAGAAAGTTCACAACTCATGTCTCTTTTCCCTTACAGAGCTGGCAGGCACCTCATGTTTTACCTACAGAAAAGTCCAAACTGCACTTAGGAGGAAGTTAGGAAAAGAGCATGTGAAGGCTATTTTAAAGCACTCAAGATTTCTGCTGCCATCATGAATGCAGGGTTTTGACTTTGTTGTTCTTTAGGGGTCTTTCTTACTATGCAGTTCTTATTGGCCTGAAACTTGCTGTGTAGACCAGGCTGGTCTGGAACTAACACAGAGATCTACCTGCTTCAGCCTCTAAGTGCAAAGAGAAAGGAGTGTGCCTCCATGCCCAGCTGCAGAGAAATTTGAAACATTATCAAACTTCCTTATTTTCCAATTATTCACTTGACAATAACTTATTTGTCCTCCAAGAAATGCACAAACGATCACAATGTGTATTTGTCCATCAAGACCTAGTGACCGAGAAGCTAAATTAGTCCTGGAGCAGTCATTAGAGAGGCTCAGCGCAGCAGCTACTTCTCTGTAAGTTTGTTTTGGTTTTCAGGTGGGTTTTACCATGCTGGCCTAGCTGGCCTCAAACTCATACATTTGAGAGATCCTTCTGGATGAACTGGCAGCCTACCAGGCCCAGTTGGGGGGGAGGGGCAGGGAGAGAGGAAAGGTATTAATTTTCCTGCCTTAGCCTCCTGAGTAACTAGATTTACAATACACTACTGTTCTTTTTAAAAAGATTTATTTTATTATTCTTAATTATGTGTGTCTTTGTGTGTATGCCACACGAGTGCAGGGGTCCTCGGAGGCCAAGGTGTTAGATTCTGGAGCTAGAGTTACAGGCAATTGTAGATGCCTGATGTGGGTGCTGATAATCAAATTTTAGGTCCTCTGCAAGAGCAGTTTATGCTCTTAACCATGAAGCCATCTCTCTAGCCACTATACTTGGCAATTATTGTTTTCATCATTATTCTTTTGAGACAGGGTTTTACTATATAGCCTGGGTCTTAGTGCTAGAATTACAGTTGTGCACTGCCACGCCCTACATGTAAGTAGTAAATATGCACACCAGGCTGGGCACAGTGCACAGACGCAGGTCAGGAGGCAGGTGAACCTCTGTGAATTCCAAGACAGTCAGGGCTACATAGAGACCCTGTCCCCCAATAAAAACAACAAATAAATAAATAAAACAAATATATTAAGCTTACCACTAAGGTTATTAATTACATATTAATAAAAGGAAATACAATATGAAATATAAAACACAGGAATATTAATCACAGTCTAGTTTGGAGAGGCATTAAATCAACTATGTCTAAAACAGCTTCCAGTTCAGATTCCCAACTTCAACATGAAATAATAATTTTATCCTAACTTACAAAAGTTTTCCTTGGCCTTGTCTCCCAACTAGAAGAATTTAATAACATACTGCTTCCCCAAACATTCCTACATGCTCTAGAAGACAAATCTCCATCCTTTTATCTTGAAACAATGTCCTATCACAAGAAAACACACCCCAGCAGCTGAAGGAATGCAGTCATTCAACCCCACTCACAGACAATAGCTGCCAGAAAAACCTCCCCACCTAAAGGTAAGCCCAATCCTGGCAACCTACCGTGTCTCAATGAGGTAAGCAGTGTACGTTTCTTGCATGTTCATGGCGTTTCTTCCAGTTCTCTTTTCTGCTTCAGAAACACTGATTTCTATTTTCTTCAACCAAAAATTATTTCCCGTCATCTGGACAAAAATAAATGGAACAATAAAAGCCCTTTAGATGGTATTGATACATGAGGATGATGGGGGGGGGGAATACGAATAAAGGATACTATAATCATGCATGACAATATAACAAAACCCATTATTTTATGTAATTAACATATGCTAGTGAAAATGGTATTGGAAAACTCATAGGCACACTAATAAAATCCAGCACTGGTAAATATTTCCAGAAGGTTTGGGGGCTGGGACAACAGCTCAATAGGTAAAGTGCTTGCCATGCAGGCAATGAGGACTTGAGTTTGAATCCCCACGTCCTCTGTAAAAGTTAGATGAGCAGCATGCACCTGTAACTCCAATGCTCCTTCTATGGCACCATAGGAGGCAGTGACAGGAGACCCATCTCAGTAAGGTAGGGGAGGATGGCAACCAAGGCTATATACTCTAACCTTCATACACATGCGCAGCACACAAACACACATAAATATATTTTCTAAGTTGTTATGGGTTACTAAAAAATAACAGCAAGTGACAACCTCTTTTTATCAACATACTACAGTACCTCAATTTCTTGAAAGATATTTTAATAGGTACCATACATTTAATTATTGTAATTCCAACATTCCACATAAGCAACCAAGCTTAAAGCTATACAGGAATATATAAGAAAAAGCCTTCAGATGGGATGCAGCTAAGGGCTAGAGCCCTGCCTACTATGTTTGAGGCTCTCTCTGAGTTTAAGTTTCATCATTGCAATAATAAAAAAACCTTAGGCTATATTACAAGCAGAGGATTCTGGAAGAGTACCTGGTGCATTATCAAGTACCAAGTATCTACTAACCCATCGAGACAACACAGATTTTGTATTTAAAAATATTTTTTGCAAGGGTTGGGGATTTAGCTCAGTGGGGAACCCTTGTCTAACAAGTGGGGTTTGTCCTGTCTTAGTTAGGGTTATTATTGCTATGATAAAACACCATGACCAAAAGCATGCTGGGGAGGAAAAGATTTATTTTGCCTACACTTCCACATCATAGTTCAACAAAGGTCAGAACAGGAACTCAAACAGGGAAGGAACATGGAGGCAGGAGCTGATGCAGAGGCCATGGAGGAGTGTTGCTTACTGGCTTGCTCCACATGGCTTGTTCAGATTGCTTTCTTATAGAACTCAGGACCATCAACCCAGGGATGGCACCTCCCACAAGGGACTGGACCCTTCCCCATCAATCACTAATTTCAAAATTTGCCCTATAGGCTCGCCTATAGCTCAATCTTCTGAAGGCATTTTCTCTTTTTTAAGCATAATTTTTTATCGACTTTGGGAATTTCATATTATGTACCCCAATCCTGCTCATTTCCCAGTTACTCCTCATCTGCCCCCTCACTCCCATAGCATCCTCACCAAAAGAAAATTTAAAAAATATTAAAGGGGCTGGAGAGAAGGCTCAGCAGTTAAGAGCATTGGCTTTCTTCCTGACGACCCAGGTTCAATTCCTAGCATCTACATGGTAGCTCACAACTGTCTATTACTCCATTTCCAGAGGATCTGATACCTTCATACCAATGCACACAAAATAAAGTTAAATAAATTAAAAAAATATTAACTAAAAACAAAATAAAATAAAACAAACCAAAAAACCACTTCACTCCCATCTTTCCTTTGTCTTACAGCACTGGGAGTTGTGGTACATCACACCGTGTGCCCTTTGGTCCACTCAGCTTTACTTGCAAGTGTTCTTTTAGTTGTTGGGTCTAGTTCAAGGTCTCTGGCTTCTGGGACATCAATACTGGATCCCTCACCAAAACTCCTCGCCAATATCCTGCTGTTGCCCCGGTGATGGAGGTGCTGCAGCTGCGGTTCAAAGAACCAGTCTGTTCATGTATTCTGGCAGAACAGATGGGGTAGATTCTGGGGTGGGCTGATTTGATCAGTTTTTGCCCCTCAGGCAAGGGGCAGAGCCAGCTCTTCAACACCCAAGCCATCAAGGCCAGCTCTCCAGCCCTCTATCCCTGTAGAGAGGGGTGGAGCTATCTCTCCTGAATGTGGGACCAGCTCTCCCAGAAGGGGCAGGGCCAGCTCTCTCAGCACTGCCCTCGGATTTCAACACTTATGGTTCCTATGACCCCATAGGCCATGAAGATAATAAACAGACCTCAGCTGCAGCAGGACCATGGACCCCAAAATGGCCCTCAGCAGCAGCTTGGGTCCAGATGTCACTATGGCCCTGATAACTACACAGGCCACCCAGATGAGTGTGGCCCCGGTGGCAGCATGGCCCTTGGACACCAACATGGTCTCAGGTGGCTGACCAGACCCTGGGTGTCCACATGGCCTTCGGTGGTAACAGAAGCCATGGACATCACTCAAACACTGCCTGGTATAGGACCACAGACCCAGACATGACCCTCAGCAGTAGTTACAGTGCAAACTGCAAATGTCACCATGATCCAGGGTGGCAGCACAGGCCACTCAGGTCAGCATGGCCCCAGCAGCAGTGTGCGTAGCCCCAGGTATCTGCCCAGACCCTGACGGCACTTTCTCAGTTGAGGTTCCCTTCCTCTGAAATGACTCTGGCTTGCTTCAAGTTGATGTAAGAACTAGCAGTCACAAATCCTTAACTAAAAAAAAGAAGTCACAAAAAACAAACAACTAGCCGGGAGATGGTGGCACACGCCTTTAATCCCAGCACTCGGGAGGCAGAGGCAGGCGGATCTCTGTGAGTTCGAGACCAGCCTGGTCTACAAAAGCTAGTTCCAGGATAGGCTCCAAAGCCACAGAGAAACCCTGTCTCGAAAAACCAAAAAGAAAAAAACCAAAAAACAAAAAACAAACAAACAAGGCTAGTAGCACACACAACCTTTCCAGGCTAGCCAGGACTACACAGTGGGACCTGTCTCAAGATACAAACAAAACAGAACAAGAAACAAACCAGTGAGCTCCAGGATCAATAGACCCTGTGCAAAGGGAGTAACGAGGAGGGGAAGGAGAGAGGGAATGCACGTTCATATGTAGGCACAGGACACCTGATGTTCTCCTTAGATTCGGTGCACACCGGGGCAAACACTGACTCCCCCCAAAAAAGCAGATCCTTTATGGAAAGGCAGCAGAGAAGGGGTATATATTAGGAAAAAAATAAAGATACACAAATGTAAAAATACCATAATGAAACTCAGTATTTTGTGCATTTGTTAAAAGTAACACATAAGAAGAGATTTTTAAAAAGCTGCACAGGTTGGGGTGATGACTCAGTACGTAAAGTGCTTGCTACTTATGCATGAGCACCTGCGTTTGCATCCCCAGCACTCACAATTAAAACACTTTCAATTCCAGAACTGAGGAGGAGGCAGCAGGAGGATCTCTGTGGTTTGCTAACTAGCCAGCCTAGCCAAATCTGCTAGCTCTAGGTGAGTGAGAAACACTGTCTGAAAAAGCAGGTAGAGTGATCCAGGAAGAGACCTAATGTCAACCTCTGGCACCCACAGGAATGCACATACACACGAACACACATAAAAATGCGACAGTAAAAGCAATAGTTACAGAGAAAATCAAACTTATGTATGACAGTACCAAAAATGGAATCAATGATGAAAAATAGATAATATATTTAGGAAGCGCTCCCAAGAAAAATACAGAAAGTGATGTTGTATATTTATACACACAAGAGAAAATAAGAGAGACAGAAGACATCAGAGGAGAGCTCAAAGAATTACCTAAGTTGGTGGACATCAGCATGATAAAGGTCACACTGGCTGAGATAACCATACAGCTCTTGGCCTTCAGCCTGCTTTTTGATTCATCACCATCTGCTTCAGTGAAAATTCTCTGAATTCTAAAAGCACATAACTGTACTGATAAATCACCTTCTCAGCCCAAAAGATAACACATTAATCATGATTTCAGCCTGTCATACTATCTAGTAATAACAAGCACAAAATTTTTTAAAAAGCATTAAGTTCGAAAATAATATCAAAACAATGTACATGGGTTGTTAAGTCTCAAGTCCCAGAACAAATGGATGAGGTGCCTAATTAACATATCAAAGTGAACCTGGCCTCCAGGTTCTCAGCACCCCTACCTACCTGTTATACGGTGTGGCTGGCAAACCCTGCCCTCTCCAACCCAGGGGCCTAGGCTGCCCTTCCCCCAGAGATTCTTATCTATATAATCCAGACATTTTGGTTACCTGCCCCTTTTGTACCTTTGCCCTCTTGGCTGCTACACCTATTTCTCCTCTGTGGTAGGTTGAGTGTAACTGGCACTATTAGGAGGTGTGGCTTTGCTGGAGTAGGTATGGCCTTGTTGGAAGAAGGGTGTCACTGTGGTGATGGGCTTTGAGGTCTCGTATATGCTCAAGCCATACCTAGTGTCTCAGTTTCACTTCGTGTCCTGTACAAGATACAGAACTCTCAGTCCTTTCTCTGGCACCAAGACCCACCACGATGATAATGAACTGAACCTCCCACATCTGAACCGTAAGCTACCCAATTAACTGTTTTCCTTTAGAAGAGGTGCTGTGGTCATGGGGTCTCTTCACAGCAATAGAAACCCTAAGACAGCCTCCCTCCCCTCTTCCTCTCCTCACATAGCTCAGGGTCCTGACTACGGTGGACTCTCCCTTTTGTCTACAATGAACTTTCTCCTCTACCGTACCTAGGAACAGTCATGTCCTTTCCTTTTTATTTCTTTTTTCATTCATTAACAGCAATACCAGCAGGGCTGGTAGATGTATACCATATTCCTTGTGCTGAACCTATTAGCATAAAACAGCAACAATATCTAACATAACCAATACCTGTAACTGTTAAGAGACACATTCACAGATGTGACTGTGCTTGAGAGCTGGCTAATGGAAATAGGGTGCTATTTAAATCACACATTTAACACTGTAGAAAACATTAAAACTAAAAGAAAATAGGCCCCGAGCCACCCAAGATTACTAAAATGCTTAAAAATAGCTTAGAATAGGAAAAGGAAAAAAAAAAGTAGTGAAACCAAAAATGTCAGGGCAGAAACACTGGGA